GGTTCACAGTTCTTCCTGTGCACAGTAAAGACTGGCTGGTTGGACGGTAAGCATTGTGTGTTTGGCGCTGTCACTGATGGCATGGATGTGGTGAAGAAGATCGAGGCTGTCGGCTCTCAGTCTGGCAAGACCTCCAAGCCAGTGATGATTGCAGACTGTGGCCAACTTTCGTAGAGAGGCGAGTCGCAGACTGAGGAGGCAGTAACGCAGATTACTTGCCCGACAGGCTGTGGAGGTAGCTATTCAATACGGACAAAAAGGGGAGTCCGTTTTCTGAGAGATCGAAAGCGGTACCCACGACCTGAGTTCGTTTTTTATCTCACAGCAAAGCAGTTTTCCCTTTGTTTGCGAGGGAGCATTGAGCAGTTCAGCATCAGGCAAACAGTGTCAGTTGATCGTCTGACACTACATAGTCTTCAGCAGCCAAACACGGACGAGGTTAGTGCAGACTTAGCCTAAAGCGACCATCTCAACTGATAGTCCTTTTATCTATGGATTCCCTCTTAATGACGCCTCACCAAACTATCATCCTGCTTCAGCGCCTGCTCTCGGAGGCCCCATGGTTCAGTGGACATTGAATCCACTTTCAGGACACGTGAGCATGACGAGGGAAGGTTCAGCAGGTTTCTTTCATGGCTGAAGAAGCCAAGTAGACACGTAGACTTGGCCAAGTCGAGGCTTTCGGTTCCTTCAGTCGCTGCAAAGGATCGGACCAGCGGCGTCCGCGCCCGTCCCCAGGTTCCTTTGAACGATCTGGGCGTCAAAGCCTTAGGAATGAGCGGTTTCTCACACCGTGGCCACGGCCTTTTGGGTGGAGGATTCCCTCAACGTGTGCTAGCAATAGATGTTGGACGAGGCGAGCCAGGAGAAGATGAAAGGCTTCACTTACTTGTCTCTCCGTTAGGTTGTATAATCTTGTCTTGCGAGTCAACACCAGTTCCCTTTTCTCTTTTCGGACCAAAATAACACGTCCACTGCAGCAGCAGTGGTGCTGTGTCGACGAGAGCCAGCTCTGAATCCAAGGCTGTTGCGCGGCTTTTTTCACCACCTGAAAGCTGCAAACCGAAGGGTTAGGACCTCCATGGACCTCTTTGGAAAAGCAAGAACAGGAGGTGATCAGGTGAGCCATTCGCTTCTAGCTACTCCGTTGTTTTGGGCGCCTTTGGAGTCCATCGACTAGAGGTAGTCCAAGATCATCATTAGTCTACTAGTAGCAAGAGCATCACCATTATCCATCGGACTCTGGTTGAACAAAGATCTTCCGAATCCGCCACCGAGTGAATCCACTACATGGACCACTGAGTTTGTCATATTTGATTCAGCGATTCACCTCATATTATACCCCGAGGTCATGCCAGGCAACAGCCATGTGGATCATGCCGGGGGCCTCGGGGGGGTTCGACACTGGAGGTACATGTGTGTGTATGTGTAGCAGGTTATCAGGATGCGAATGGGATTTGAGACAATGAAGCGGTGGTGTCAAGGCTTCTTGGACGACCTCTATTGGGATACAGATTGATCTGACTACTTGAGGCCATTTCACTTCGAGTGTTTATACTATCAGGTGGGAGGGATCATGTTTGGAATTCCTGCACTGGCATTGTCATGGGAAAATCCTACATAGTAGGGAGAAGCAACACATTATGATCTTCTATTTATATAATCGACCACCTACAACAGGATGTTTATCGTTGCTCATCACTATATTTCCACTGTGCGAGCTCAGGCCTGGCGCCCTTCGAAAGATGCTCACCTTCAGATGAAGGGCGGCCCTTCATCCCAGCCGACTGAGGCAGACAACAGGAGAAAGAGTAGGACCCTGCATTTTCAAGAACGAACGTGGTGATTATCCTGAGATTTCTTGTTTTTAGCATATGTTTTAATAAGGAGACCTCCCAGTTCAATCTCACAAAGCCATTGGGCCAGGCTGTTCTCACTAGTTAAAAGCTTCTTCACCACAACGAATGGCCAGACCCAGACCTGCACAATTGAAAGGAAGCACTCAAAGGAAGCATTCAGAGGAAGATACAGGGGTGCCACTTCCACCCCTCGGAGGTGGGTCGACCGTATTCTTCTGTTGCGACGTGCGACGTGCCAGGCACGTCGGCCCTCCAACCAGGCGTGTGACTGGATGTGTGTTGGTGGAAGGGAACCACCCGCACCAAGGTCAACAGCCTTACGATTTTCAGCCGACGTTTCAGAACGCACCAGGGCTATCGGCTAAATGTGGATCGTTTGCGGAGAAGCCCGATGCTCTGAAAAGCCAACGACAGATGTTTCGGACAACTCCGAGTTGGGAGGTGGAGGAATTTCCGAGTTTGGACCGAGCCATGCCAAGGTTGTGACTTGATTGAAGAAATGCTTTCGGTGACGCGAAAGAGACCATCTGGCCGCTGTTGAGACCGGTGACCGGTCCGCGTTACACCAGTGACCGGTCCGCGTTCCACCGCGACCCAGGGGGCCTTCGTCGGCTGGAGGTCCAACTGAGGCGTTGACGAAGACGCAGATTTCACCTGTACAGATCGGTCCATGGTCCATGTGTGTCAGCTTCATGGGTCCATTGGGTCCATTCATTTCAATTGATGTACTTTTTCAAGTTTTCATGCCTTGTTGGGCCTCTTTCTATTCAATGTTGACAGATCAGATCTAAGGGAAAGCGATATTTTTAGGATGAAAGATCTTGAGCTGCCGGCACCTCCGCCCGCGGTGGTGATGTGAAACAACATCTGGTGTGATCAGCAGATCTGCTCAAAGACCACGACTTGGATCCCAAAAAAGAGATTCCCAGATTGTCTCAAAAGTGTCTCAAACACCAAATTAGCTCCCAACTAGGATGGAATGGGCTTGCTCTGGGTCTCACTAGAACCTGCCTCCTACATTTGTCATACGTTTATCTCTGTATTTCTTCTACACGTTGGCGTGTTCATTGCAACTTGCAACATGGTTGCTTGTAGTTGAAGACCCGGCAGACATTCTTTCGCCACACATTTCTCAGCATCGAAGATTGCATTGCCCCAGGCTCAAGCGACACAACACATGACAAAAACAACATGACGACAAACTCTTGCGAAAGCTCGAAACATGTGATCGCAGGCTTCCTGAATTGTACTCAGGGGTCAGTTGTGAGGTTTGACATCGATTTGGGTTGAATGACCCGACCCACCAATCGCAAGGATCAAACACTGGGTTTGAAGGTCCGGTCTTTCGACTTTGCGCAATTCGCACCAAAAGTCACACCGAAGATCCGAAGGTAAGAGCCTGATCGACGACAGGCTTCACCCGAGGTCCAGGGAGGTTCCTTCCAAGCGCATGGGGCCCACTGGTCGAGAGTTCCCCAGAGCGACGACTGGACTCCACCGGTCGCCCAACGGCCGAAGACGACGCCGGTCGCGCCGCGCCCGCGGATGGAGCCACCGGGCGACGACACCGTTTCGGGTTCTTTTCGGCTGTGAAGCTCCAGTCGTGAGCTCGGAGGAGTGGTGAAGCTAACAGGAGAAGCACCGGGAGCTTCTCCCGTTTTCATCAGGATGCAGTTGTTTTACTTTTTTACACTAACAGGGCTCGGAACGGATTCCGAAATTCACTTCAGTCCGCGTTTTTCAGAGATTGGGGACTAAGATTCCAGGTGAGATCTTGAACGCTGAAGAAGCTGAAGCGATGTGATTGAAAAACGGGGTGAAACCTGAGATGAGCTGTGAGCGATTTGACTGGTACTGGTTCCACACTGCTGGTCGTTCTGTCTGAAGACTGCTCAGGCCTAGCTGTGCATCATGGGCCATCCAGTCCATGTTTGCAACGGTGCGAAAGCAGTGCTGAGAAACATCGTCTTCCATGGTTTTCACCAACCAAACACCTGGTGGCTTTTCATGTTGCGACCCAACCAAGGGCTTCTGCCGTGTCCATGTTCTGTCGTGTCCACCGGGCGGGAAACTGGACCTCCAGAACGTTTTGGAGGATTCTTTGGGTGCAGTACTTCACTTGGCGCTCAACAACCCCGTCACTTTGGGCCGTGGGCCTGTTTCGATCACCTGAGATGGTTTTCTTTTTTCTCACCCTTGAGGGGGTGTTCTGGTCTTTGGTCATTTTCATGCGCGCGGAGTGGGACGAAGTCACGGAAGTTCTGGATGAAGAACAGGAAGCAGACTTGATGACAAAGCCAGCAACAGTCGTACGAGCCAAAGCGGGAGCAGAAGCAGAACGAAAGAGCAGGACAGGGAGAAGAGACGGACACACACACACACATACTTTCTGGGTGTCAACTGCTCTTTTCATACTTGATGGTCTCCCTGTGAAGACCAGGGAGCACCCTTACCTCCTGCCAGGTAAGAATCAGCACAGTAAGGACATGCTGCACCTGAGGTGGGGACGCGACGGTGCAGTTGAAGACATCACAGAAAAGCGGGCACGTTGACGTTTGGGTTAACTTGTTGATTTGGGCATGGGATGCTCTGAAGAGGGATTCGGTATGTAGGGATTTGGGATATACCTCCTTGTCACTGTTGTAGGATGCAGGTGCCCACTGGCCTTGGGAAGGCTCTATTCTAAGGGAGTCGTGTGTTGAGTGATGTAGGGCGCATTCCCCAAGCGCCAAGCGGCAAGTTGTGAACCAGGCCAGACTATTGATCTGATTTCATCATGTGGACATCCAAGACCAGCTTGAACCGCCACGAGATGTCTGTCATTGTGGACACCGTCTTGGTCGGTGTGTTTCGCATGCGTTTGCACCAAATCGGCAGAAACCTGCTTGGTTGAGATCCGTCTTTTCCCAGCATCCCCTGCCGGCACTGCCCTAAGCTGGAGTGACAGTGGGTCGAAACCTCCCCCCCACCAAATCATGGAAGGTTGACATCCAGCAGCCTCTTCTGTTCATTGGTGGTCAGACCCCCCAGGCTGAGCCTACTCACTTCAGACTCATGTTGGGTCAGTTTGCTCCTACTCACCTCTGGCTCGTTTTGGGGGTGCTCATCCTTTGTCCGCCGGTCTCGTGGAGTGCCGCGCTTCTCAGGCCCACCGAGTGGGCCCAGGATGGTCGCGGCTTCAAGGCCCGATCGGGGCGCGTCTCGAAGGGGAGACCGGGAGAAGCCTTATTAGTTTTGATGTTAGATGTAGTCAGTAAGTATGGGATCCGAAATCCAAAAGACCTTTTGTTGGAGTTCAGTTTGGAACCTCCAGGCGTCCAAATGGACTCCCTTTTCCAAGCTGCCACTCAACTGCCGGGTGACCGAGGGGTTGCGCGGCCCCCCCCAAGGGCCGTGGGAGCGAGGATGCTGTTGGAGGAAAATGATGCCAGTGGATGTACCGTACCTTTTTTTAAATCCCCTTGGAGAACCTTTTTCTGAATAGCAACAAAACCAGAGAACTCCTCTTCCATGTCAGTGATGAGTGTATGTGAATGTGTCGGCTTTTGTGCATGGGAGTTCTGTGAAGCAAGCTTGAAGGAGGATGCTCCTGTCATTCCGGCAACCTCGCAGTTTGTTCAGCAGCGCACAGGGGCGATTAATCACGGAGGTTTCTCATGTTTTTTGGGTGTTCTTTGTTCACCCCGGGCCCAAAAGTGGTTTGGCGGTGCCACAAATCAACAGACGCTTCATGTTGAACTTTCCTGGCGTTTCACTGAGGCTGCTTCCTCTCGCTGCAGCCCTTTGACAAGCCTGCCGGCATCTTAGACAATCATAGACCAGCTGCCTAGCCCGCCATATCAACTCATTCGGCGCCCAAGGCTGAGGTCTGGAGGTCTCCCAGGCACCCTGTTGAATGCCCAATGCGCTTGTCTTGACACGACCACCTCGTGTCAGACACGACCACCAGAGTTGGCGAGCGCTCGTGGGCCTAGGTCGGCACACGAGACGGCTCCGTATTTGAGATCACTCACATCTTGAAGTGAGCACCAAGTGACTATTACTCGATAATTAGGTTTGCGGATGGCTGTAATTATGGATTCCTGGGCAGTGTTGGGATTTGTACGGGGTCATGCACGATCGGCTTGGGGCCATGCTGGTTTTCTGCTGGCACTCGAGAGACTGATGGTTTTTCACCCGGTGACATCGCCCGAATTCGCAATGTGTGGATGCAGATTTCTGGGACTCTCAAGCGAAGAACTTCTGGGGCAACTTCTTCCTTTTTTGGGCTTCTCCCACCTCGAAAACTGGGCAGTGACTCTGCAGACACCGTAGATCACGTCAAGTAGATCTCGCAGAAGAGGAGTGAACCTGTCACTGGGATGCAGCATAGTACCAGGAGTTTGGAAGAGGAAGATAGGAAACATGGGATTTCCAGGCTTTCGTACGCTCTGTGACCAGCTGTAACCGCCATGTTGCCATGTGAGTTCTCATCTCAGCTGTCTGAAACAGCCATCTGATGGCCGTCGTTCGTGCAGGTACATCAAACGATATGGGGTGCACCCGGTGCATGGTGGGAAGTTGGAAGTCAAGGATCTCATCCCCCTGTCAGACGCCCAGTGAGTGCTCATGAGGAGAGCTGTGGTGCTGTGGCGAGGCAAAAAGGAGCTTCTTTTTTGGCATCGACGCTGCTTGAGGCACTTCCACAAGAATGCCCAGGGCAACTTCCACTGCCCGGTGACCTTCAAGGTGAGTCACTGATTCGGACATGAATTGGGACGAGGACCTGCTTTATGACTTGATGCATTGGGATGGCTTTTGGTCTCAAGAACTCCGCTTTTCCAGAGAAAGCGCTGAAATACACAGAACTCAGAAGCGTCAAACCACAGAAGCGATCCCAATACCAACCACCTTCTTCCACCTTCTCCGATCCGTCGATCCGTCCTCCGACCGTCCGTCGCAGGTCTTGGGGAACAACACCGCGGTGTGTGCCAACCTGGCGCGTGGAGCTCAGGTCGCCGACAAGTGAATGCGTCATGCGCATGCCGCCGCGGCGGTTTCCTCGGTGCCCACGCTGAGGAAGGGTGCACGGTTTGTCTTGAAATCGAATCTCGAATTGAAAGGGTCATGTTGGAAGGGGCAACTGGGTGCAAACACACACACACATATATATATATTTTACATAGAGTAGAGTCATGGTGTCATAGAGGTTCTCACTTCGGGCCTTCAGCCGTGACCATGCCCACTCTTGGTGGAAGAATGCTGGAATGGATGCGACACGCTTTGGTGGTGAGAACAGCGGCCTTCAGCTGTGACTCCTACGCGTTTTCAAGGACCAGGTCGAAGACAGTGGTCGAATCTGTACCTTGATCCGTTGCGGTTTAGCAGCCAAGGTCTGGGCATGTCTACTGTTTGGAGGCAGTGATGGAGCTCAACAAGAAGACCAAGAACTGGACGCTGGGCATATGGATTTGGGGGTTTTGATGTCGCGATATTGATCAGTGATACATCATGAAAAGCCAGAATTCAGCCCAGAACATCGTGGCACTTTGGCTACCGGCTACCCTTGATTTTTCATGTATATTTGGAGATTTTGAGAAAGTCACCAGAATTGAAGCAACATCCAAGATTTGGAGCCTGCAGTCGAGCTAAACAACCTCCTCTTAGGAAAGCCTTGAAAGCACCCTGGCAACTTGTACGAGCACAAGAGTCAGGGGAGTCCCTCCTGTTGATCCTCCACTCCTGTGAAAGAAACGACCCCCGCTTCTTTTGGTTTGGGATTTTGGAACACTTGCCAGTCTTCCGCACATCTAAGACTGGGCTTGGCCGAAACATTGGACTGATCGTTTCTTGGTGACCTCATCATAGGGTGAAAGGGTGAAACCGTCTGGGCCCAGCCTCTCAGAACCGTTGGGGAAGGGGTTTTGCGGCGCCCAGGAAGGACTTGATGACTTCTCAACCTTTCAAGTGGACCGACATTGCCTCTTGGACATCCGCGGGACGAACGTCAGCCAGACTGAGATGACGTTTCTCTTTTTTCTTGTTGTGTGCTGTTGGAAGGCTTGAAATGGAAGACTTGGTGCGACGTTGCACAGAGTTTTATAGGAGGTTTGCATCAAATCTTCCGTGAAGAATTGATCTTCATCCCTTGTTCACTGTCCTCCCTACGTCGGCGCACTTCGCCAGACGCACACACAAACACACACACACACACACCAGCCAGAGTGTGATCGAGACGGACTTATACAGCAGATCCATGGAATTCCAACCAGAGGGCCCATCTCTTTCGTGTCATCCCCTCCAAATTTTTGGAGTTTCCAAGTAGTGGGGTCCGGTTTATTAATGTGTCTGTGACGAAACTGCTGGCAGCCCCGTGCACCGTGCAGGGCCCAAAGGTGTTGCCCCATGCAACAAAAGAATCATCAGCAGCCTCAGGTGTTCAATGAGGAGCCTCCAGTGTTGAGAGTTAGGGAGTGTCCAGGATTTCATGACACTGGATTTCAGAAGGGACGGGTCCAAGGAGCTCCAAAGTCAAAACCCGTGTCGAATCGATGCATCGATCGCTCGTGAATTCCTCCTGTGTCGTTTGATGAACATAGCCCATAACGTATGAGGCACAAGAGTTCACAGTTGAAGTTAGAAAAGGTGCGATGCGGTGCATGCCATGGTTTCGTCGCTGAGTGCATTTAACATTGGTGACGCGGAGCAGTACCAGGTTTCGATCTAGGGCTGTTCTGCATGTCGACATGGCGACCTACGGTCGGTGAACGATCGGCGACCATTGGATCCCTAGGGCTTCGAGGTAGTGAACATCCGCTTGCTTGGACCTCCACACCTTCTCATTCCAGATGGGAATGGAATGACACTGACTGGGAGGAGCAGGGCTATGCAGGTGATCCGTGGAGGAGCGAAGATCCTTGGTCGCAGGCCGACAACATGGGGGTGAGCGGAAGATCCACTGATGGGTGGATGACCGATCAACAAATGAGGGGATTCAATGTTACACAAGCTCACCACACGGTAGCGGGTGCTGATGGGCGCTGGCGAGGTGGACATGCAGAAGGTGAAGGTTGGTTTGGTGGGGGCATTCCGGAACCTCATGACTGGGATTGGCCCCAGAAAGATGGTGCAAAGCCTTCTGAGAAACTCCATGTCCCCAGCTTTGATGGGAATCTGTCGATGATGATATGGGGAAGACAGCAAGGTCCTACATTCGCAAGATCCAGGTTTGGCTCCGCTGCACGAAGATGCCTGCCAATCAACGAGGCCTGGCTCTTTACAATGAGTTGACGGGCAAGGCATGGGTGTATGCGGAGGAGTTGGATGTGGACCTCTTAGCATCCGACCATGGAGTTTCTTATTTTCTTGAATGGGTGAAGGCACGGTTCATGGCCATCGAGATCACACAGGTCTCTCACATGATGGGTGATTTGTTCAAGCGCTGCCGCCGTCGAGGTGACCAATCTGTTCGCGACTTCAATGTCGAGTTTGAACGATTGGTGCTGCGCTTGAAAGAGGTTCAATGCGAGATCCCACCGTTGATCAAGGGCTGGCTGTACTTGGACAAGCTGAGGTTGAGCGAGCATGAAGAGTTGACTTTGTTGTCAAGTGTCAACAATCAATTTGATGCCAAGAGACTTCAACAAGCTGCTCTCCTACAAGACCGAGCCATCCGCAGGCCAGCTTCTTCCTCCGAAAAGGTGCCTTGGAAGGAAGGGAAACGGTGGGGAACCAAGCACTCGGTTCACATGACCGATGCGCTGGAGTCGAGTGATGAATCGGCTCCAGATGAAGAGGAGTTGGTTTCCGAAGATGTAGCATGTGAAGCTCACGAGGCATACATGACCTACCAGAGCGCAAAGTCCCGATACCGTGAAGCCTTGAAGGGTCGGGGCGCTGATGTAGATGAGATCAAGAAGAGATCTGAAGAGAGGCTGCGCCTTGCAAAACAAAGGTCTTTCTGTTCGGCATGCAAGAGGAAGGGCCATTGGCATAAAGATCCAGAATGCCCTTTGCGAGGTCGTCGGCCCGTAGATGAGAGGCAACAGGAAGCTCATGTGACGGTCCATTCGGCTCAGATGTGCACAACCGTTCATGCTTGCTATGCCATGGACAACCAAGAGACCCAGGTCACTGACTTTCTGGCGGGTGGCCTCCTTGCGATTGTGGACGCAGCATGCACCAAGGCCGTTGCAGGCCATGGTTGGTTTGAGAACTTCTGTGACATGTGCGACAAGTTGGGCTTCATGGTGGAGACCTATGACCATGAAGAGTTTTTCAAGTTTGGAGCATCCAGAGTGCACACCTCTTCGTTTGGGGTGGCAGCGTGGTTTGCCATCCGAGGGCGGTGGTTCCAAGTGAGAGTGGCCATAGTTCCATGTGGAGTGCCATTGCTGTTTAGTCGCCCCATCCTGGCGGCACTAGGCATGCATTATGATTTGGCTGCTCAACGAGTTCAGTTGAGCTCTTTGGGATTGGATGACGTCCCACTGCACACGAGCCAAAGTGGCCATCCGGCTCTTTTGGTCAATGAGTACGAAGGCAAAAAGCCTCCACGAGGTCGAATCGGCCTTGGTGATGACCTCTACTTGCCGGACGAGCGAGCATACATGGATGCGCAGTCTCATGACATGGATGGCTTGAAACCCTTGTTCTACCCCAAGATCATGGCAAAAGAAGTTCAACTTATGCTTCAATCTTCTCAAACTCTTGGAGGTGCTGGTTATTTTTGCTGGTGGAAACATGCCAAATTGTCACGGGATTTTTGGATTGAGACCCACACAGAGTTCATCAGAGTTCATGTCGTGCCACGTCGGGGCCTCTTCGATCCTTCGTCATGGAAGACACAACTTGTGGGCCTCAAAGATGTTCTTTTGAAGAGATTAAATGGTAGTCGACGCACTGAAGCAATCTCATGTTTGTCGGAGGGCACGGCAGTCCATGTTTTCAGTGATGCAAACTTTGAGCATGTGAAGAACGTTTTGGAGCAACCTTGGATTGGACGCAGCCGCTTTCCCAAATTCGAAGGCCAAGTGAGCCTCATCGTGACCACGGCTGACGCCCATTCCAGTCCGTTGGATGCCATCCCTGACTCCCTCGCCATGGAACATGAAGAAAGGCCAACTGTTGGCCGAGTTGGCAGAACGGGGGGTGACAGCTCACCCGTCTTGGACGGTGCCGGAGCTTCGATCCATCCTGGTGGAGCAGAGGCAATTGGAGAAACCTGCGCCGGAAGAGGACAGGATGAAGGGATTGACCAAGATGACCCTCCAGCAGCTGGTCGAGGAGGCGAAGAAGGACAACCTCGTGCTGCCTGCGAAACCGACTCGCGGCCTGATGATGAGGCTTCTTCGAGACTCTCGGAACACGCCCGGGTGCACAGTCATGCCGTTCGGGAGGTACAAGGGCTGGATGTACAGCAAGGTGCCAGAAGGCTACATCCAATGGGCGATGAAGGAGGTGAAGGGCAACCCCAATGCTCACGAGGATCTGGTGCGCTTTGCGACTTGGGGCTCTCAGGAGCTGGAGCGCCGAGCCGAGACACCTGGCTTGCCCAAGAAGAAGGATCTGGGAAGAGATCCCGAGGCGCTGGCTGTGATTCCGCCGCCGCCGGTGAGGTCAGATCGGGGTCCTTCGAGCTCCTCGGAAGCATCGTGGGGGAGAGTGACGTCGCCGGGCGGCTATGCCCGGAAGGCCGAGGTGATCGCCATCGACACCGACATCGCCGACGACCTTCTGGTGGACGAGGCCGAGACCATCCGTGCTCTGGAGAACCAGCTGGCAGCATTGAAGAAGAAGACGAATGTCAAGAAGTGAAAACTTCGGAGGGGACACATGAATTCTCTGGGGGCTCCGAGGATGAGGAGGACAAGGAAGACTACAGGGTCTTCTTGGCTGCTTTGAAGGATGAGGTAAGGTATGACATGGGCACCAACAACCACCTGGACGCCATCCACGGCATGGAAGACGTCGATCAGAAGGAGACGATGGGTGCCTGTGAGGATAAGGCATGGGCTATGCCGACCTTCAATGAAAACAGCAACGCTCAGGGGGTGGAGGAGTATAACGACGGGACCATCAACAGTCAGGACATCCATCCGGGCTCGGACGAGGACACTGACAATGAGACAACAAGTGGTTCCGCCGATGACGGCCGATCGAGGTCTCCCCTTGGGCGGAATGAGGTGAAAGCTCGTATACAGGCGGGCATGCGTGAAGAGAAAAAGATTTGAGAGTCGCTCGACAAAGAAGAAGATCATGGACACGGCTCAGCAGATCTTTGGCGTTTTGGCCACCTGTTCATTGGCTATGGGGCTGTGGACTCAAGAGGTGATGGGAGATCCTTTGTGGGATGCTTGGAGTGTCCTGCAATCTTCGCACCACGTTCCTGATGATGGTCGGGCAGACTGTCTGGAGCTATTTGCAGGCGAGGCGAACATCTCCGGAGTCTTCGCCAGTCGGCAGAAAGGAGTTTTGGAGCCCAGAGATCTGAGGTATAACCACGACCTTCGGAAGTCGTGGGCTCAGGAGGAGGTCATTGAAGAGATGTGGGAGAACAAGCCTCGCTTGGTATGGATGGCTCCACCGTGTACGGCCTGGTGTCAGTTCTCCCACCTCAACTACACGCCACAAGAACTGCGGAGGAAGAGGGCACGAGAGCAGAGCTTGGTCAGGTTCACGCATCGTGTTTTCGAGCTCCAATGTGACCTGGGAGGCATCGTGGTGGTGGAGAACCCCAGGACGAGTGCTTTGTGGAGGCAAGCTCCCCTGTGCCATGTGGTATGCCGACCAGAAGTGTGCTTTGCCGATCTGGACCTGTGCAAGTATGGCATGTCGAGCGTGGTGGATGGATCGCCTTCGAGGAAGACCATATCGCTGCTTACGAACAATACTATCTTTGCCAAAAACATCGAAGCGCGATGCGACAAGTCTCATCACCATAGACCCATTCAGGGCAAAGACACCGCAGCGTCGGCAGTCTATCCTCCTGCATTTGCTCGGGCGGTCTTCAAAGCATTTTGCCAAGCCACCAGCAAGAAGCAAATAGAGATACAGTACCCAACTCATACTGTGGCACACCATGGACCCCAACCTGGAGAAGAACCTCTCGGAGCAGATAGCATCTCCTTCAAGGGCAAGGTCAAGCCCATGATTGCAGCAACGCTAAAAAGGATACACCAGAACCTCGGGCATCCACCTCAGAAAGAGCTGATCCGCCATCTTCGTCTGGCAGGAGCTTCGGATGCGGTGTTGAGGGCTGCAGAGCAAATGGTCTGTCGGACGTGTGAGAAGAGCACCAAGGCAAAGCTAGCCCGACCTGCGCACCCTGCGGTGGTCCTTGACTTCAATGAGGTCATTGCTGCTGATGTCATATGGTTTGACACCACTGAGAGCACTGGGTTGCCAGCTCTGAACATCGTGGACTTGGCATCCACTTACCAGGTGGTGGTCCCTCTTCAAGGAACTTCAGCTGAGGAGGTGGGGAGTGCTATGATCCGGGGGTGGATGAATTGGGCTGGCGCTCCCAAACATCTTTTGGTGGATTTGGATTCAGCCTTCAAAGGTCACTTCCTGCAGCTCATGAACGAGAGGAGCGTCATAGTGCGGTGCGCGGCAGCTCAAGCACATTGGCAAAATGGAGTGGCAGAACGCCATGGAGGTTCATGGAAAGAGATTTTTGCGAAGCTGGTTGAAGACCATGCGATCATGGACTATGAGGTGGAGGAAGCAGTTGCAGCAACATCGGATGCCAAAAACCAACTACGCAACCGCAGCGGGTACTCACCTCGACAGTGGGTGTTTGGATCATCGATGAGGAACACTGGTGACCTCTTTGATGGACCAGAAGAGCTCAGTTCGTTGGAGCACATCACGGTTGACGAGAAGGCCGCAAGAAGACATCAAATCAAGATGGCAGCCCGGGCAGCTTTCTTTCAGTGCCAATCCAAACAGGCACTGGACAGAGCAATTGCCCACAAGAGCAGGGTGGAGCAGAGGTCCTTTGAAGCTGGTGAGCTGGTCTACGCATTCCGGGAGTACTTGGGCAAGAAGAGGTGGCTCGGGCCGTGCACGGTCATCGGAAGAGAAGGACAGAACTATTGGCTCGCCCGCGGAGGAAGATGCTTACTGTGCGCACCTGAACATGTCAGAACGGCGCTCCACGAAGAAGTGAACGAAGGGCTTCGCATCAAGATGGCCTTGCGAGAAGTGAAGCAGCTGATGGAACAAGATGAGGAAGAAGACGAGTTTGACGAGATTGACTTTGAGAGCACTCCCCAACCTCACGGAGCACAAGGAAGTGGTCCCGTGGAGATGGATGTGGAGAACGCTATTGATCCCGTTGAAGAAAGAGCTCGACAACTTCAGATAGCTGCACGAAAGGCGCACGTTCTCGATGATGTCCCGGTCAGCATCAAGAAGGCAAAGATCCACCGGCCGTTCTTGACGAAGAGGACCATCTCAGCCAAAGCCCAGGAGAAGCAGCTTGACAAGGAGTTGCCATGGCATATGATTCCTCTTGAGGAGAAGCCTCTTTACGTTGAAGCTGAAGAGAAGCAGTGGCAGGAACATCTGCAGTTCGAGGCGGTTCGGCCTTTGTCGGTGGAGGAGAGCAACGAGGTTATCGCCACCGTCCCGGCGGAGCGCATCCTGGATTGCCGATTCCTGTACGGGGACAAGAACAGGGCAAAGAGGCGCATGGACAAAGACTTGGGACCAAAAGCCAAGGCGAGGCTCTGTGTAGCAGGACAGAGAGACCCTGATTTGGGGCGCATTGAATTGTCCACAGATGCTCCCACGGTCTCGAGACATTCCATCATCTTGTCGCTGCAGCTCGCTCTGGCACGTGGGTGGAGGATTGGTGTTGGAGATATCCGTGCGGCATTCCTCAATGGCCTTGCTTCGTCTCGAGGACTGTACTTTAGACAGCCGAAGAGAGGAATCCCGTCGCTGCAGCCTGGGCAGATCATTGAAGTCTTGAAGGGAGTCTTTGGGCTCTCTACGAGCCCGAAGTTGTGGTGGATGAAGCTGTCTTCTGATTTGGTCAGCATGGAGGTGACCTACGAGGGGGAAAAGATGAAGTTCCAGCAGAATGTCTTCGACCCCTGTGTCTTCATGCTAGAGAATAAGGGCGTGACAAAGGCCTTGCTGCTGACCCACGTGGATGACATCATGCTCATGGCTGATGCGCCTTTGCTGGAGCATCTCCAAAAGATCATTGGTGCAAAGTTCCCGATTGATGATTGGGACAATGACGAATTTGAGTATGTGGGTTGCGAGTACAAGTGTGGAAGAGAGCTCATTGAGATCAACCAGGCCCTGTACTCGAGCAACCGAGTGGAGAAGGTCACCATCTTGGAGACTGACAAAGATGATCAGCCTGCCAGCGCTGAGCAGAAAGAAGAGAACAGAACAGCTATCGGGTGTCTTTCCTGGTTGGCCAAGCAGACCAGACCGGACCTACAGTTCTCTGTTTGCCAGTGCCAGAAGAAGCAGCAAATGCCCACTATTGCTGACCTCAAGAACACTAATAGAGTGGTGACCATGAGCGAATTGCACAAAGACAAGGGCTTGCGGCTCCACCGAATCGACGAGGAGAACATGTGCATTGCTGCGTTCCATGATGCCGCATGGGGCAATGTGGGCTCGGCGAAGGAGGAACCGGGAGACCAAGAATGGTATGGTGATCACACCATTGCATCGCAGCTGGCAAGCTTGATCTTGGTGGCAGATAGATCCTGCATGTCGATCGAAGGTGGCAAGTTCAGCGTGGTGGACTGGAAGAGTAAAGCTTCTTCGAGAGTGTGCCGGTCAACATTTGCTGGAGAGACGATGGCAGGATGTGAGGCATTTGAAGCAGCAGTCTTTTTGAGGAGCCTTCTCCTGTCCTTGGCCCTCGGTTTGCGTGTTGAAGAAAGCCGAGGTGGAGAATACATGCCTCTCCACCTCGTGACCGACTGTCGAAGCTTGTATGACCATGTCCATCGAGAAGGAGTTCCCCGAGCACCGAGTGAGAAAAGACTTGCCATCGACCTGGCAGGACTCAGACAGGGCCTCATGATGGAAGCCCGTCACCAGTGGAAGAAGAAGCATCCACTGCTTGAGAGACCTAGCCCGCAGGCACCTTTGAAGCCTCCGTTGCATTGGGTTCCAACCTCCGACCAGCTTGCGGATCTTTTGACAAAGCAGCTGAAGTCAAATGGATGGTGGGACACCATTTCACGAGGGCATCTTGCTTTGCCCCTGAAAGGGGTAGTGTAAGCAATCGCAGAGAGGAAGAGTTTTTAGATCAATGTCGAATCGATGCATCGATCGCTCGTGAATTCCTCCTGTGTCGTTTGATGAACATAGCCCATAACGTATGAGGCACAAGAGTTCACAGTTGAAGTTAGAAAAGGTGCGATGCGGTGCATGCCATGGTTTCGTTGCTGAGTGCATTTAACAACCCGCGACTCGGTGTTTCAATCAAGAAACCAGGGACTGGTCCCTTGGGTTGCTTGATCGCCCGAATTGTAGAAGCTTTCTTTGTTCTGAGGTCATGCTGCAAAATCCCGACCAGATCGAGGCCAAAGATTCGGAGTTCCAACCGACTCGGAGTTTCGCGGGGTTCCTTTGGAGTCTTTTTTGGGGGCTGTGGGTGTGAATGGTCGAGGTTCCATGGGTTTCAAGTTGCGCTTGTTGCTTTGATTTTTCTCTTTGGATCCGTTTTTGGTTTAAAGTTCTTCAGCTCTTCAGTTCTTCTTTGAGATCCTCGACTCAACTAAAGATCTTCCTCAGCGCCCTCATGCCTGCCCGCCCAGCGGCGCCCTCCGAGTGGTTGGTTTTGAGGTGAAGCCCACTTGGCAGGTGACAAACCCACCATATTTGCCGAAATATAGTAGTTGAGCAAGGGAGAGATACTATTTGAGATTCAACATGGCAACCTGCAGGATGGATAAGTACCGGAAGCAGGTTGCTTGAGGCAGCCTTGGCTTCTACGATCTCCTCGCAAGAGTTTTCCGTAGTATGCCTGTTGCATTTGAAAGGCTGGCCATACCGCGACTTTTCGAAAAAGAACGCAGACGCAACACACACACACACACACACGCGGTGGTTGATTGCCCTGGTCTCGAGCGTGTGAAGATGTGATTTTCAGGGTGGGAGATCGGACACGATTCGAAGGGGCAGAGGCTGACAGGCCAAAAGGGCTGCAAGTGCGAGAGTCCGCTGCCTTGGAGGAAGTGACATATTCTCTTTGGACTGAAGCAGTTGCAGTGGCTTTGACTGAAGCCGTTCGCGATGTGGGACTCAAACTTTGCTCGAAGGATCTCGTGTGACAGGAAGTCGGTGAGCAGATGCGAGTCGTTGGAGTACACGTGGTTGCTTTGCACTCTGTAGAGATCACCTGAGAAGCATTCGTTTACTGTACATTGGTTTCGGAGTAGACGGCACAACCCCCAAGATGTCTTTCATGTAGGGGCCCATATAGACCACCTTTTGGGGATTGTGCCATCGAGCCTCTGATGGCCAACTGTATTGAAAGTGCAGCGAAGGGAAAGCACTGCCACTGGAAGACTATGCTATAGCAGCAACTGCCACTGGAAGACTATGCTATAGCAGCAGATGGAGAGAGCATAGTCACTGGAGCTTGAGCAGCGTGTTGAGAGCCTTTGCGGAGCGGAGCTGAAAAGGCTTCGACAAGCACTTTTGCTGAGTGTCAGCTTCTAAAAGCTCTTACTGTACATAGTAGATAGATATTCTATTTGGTCATTGTGTGGGACACCTGCCGCGCTCTCTTCCCTCTCACCTCCGCACTCGTGCCACCCGGTCCAACCGCCGTCCTCCCAGGGCCGCGAAGTGTCGAAGTTCCATTTCATGGTCTCTGGCCAACAGGACACCGGACGGACTGCGATCGGAGACCGGGAGACGCCGAAAACCTTTCGGAGACCGCGATCCATCGCGATGGAGACCCCTTGTTCCAGATCCCATGAGTCAAACAGTCACTGAAAAGAAGGGTTTGCGAGGGACTGCGTCGGGGAGTCCTGCAGTGTCCTTCACCAGATGTGGGAGTCACGATACGAATGAGTACAGCTTGAAACGGCGTTCAAGCCGTCCATTCATCGGGGCCTCTCGAGGCGCTTGTCCTGTGGGGCGCTTTTGGTGGAGCATCCCGAGTTCTTCACTTGAAAGATGGTGGACCATGCTTTTTGGAACCCCTCTTTTTTGCAGAAAAAGGGTGCTCTGGTGATGATTTTCATGTGATTATCAACGCATCTTGGCCCGCCGCAGGATGAAGTGGTGCGCGAAATCACGAATCCAGAGAGCAAGGCCGGCATGGGAAAGGTGGATGCAAATACAGTGGTTTCAGAGTAGATAACACTATCCCCAAAGGTGGTTTAAATGGATCTCGATCTAAAAGATATTTTTGGGGTTGTGCCATCTACTCTGAAACCACTGTATTTTGCTTCTGCCACGATTGGTACGAATCGAAGGAAAGTGGGAGGGACCACTGAAGGTGTGGGCATCAAACAGGGCCATTGATTATCACTGGCAAGTGACGTACAGTGGAATCACTCGATACAGACAGATCCTCGTTGAACGTCGCACTTTTTGCACCATTAAGCCTCATCATCAGCAGTCTTGTCAAAGTGCCGTTGCATGTTCCAAATCATTGAAGTTCTGCACACGGAAGTTCTGCACAATTGGCCAGGACTAACAGGTGCGATTCCACCGGCTTCGACTGACCCCATTTTCCCCCGCCTGTGGTAGAAATTGGTGGAACGCACCCCGCCTGTTCTGAAAAAGAACGCCCAGGTGAGCGACAAGAAAGATGAGAGTCTCCGACCCAATGCGGTGGAGAGACCCAGCTTCTCCTTTCCACACTGCCACAGTCGGCCACACCATAGTTACTGTTTTAGGTGAAGGAGGTCCCTACGCGTGCGCCTTAAAAGAAATTCTTTGAGTCTTTGAGTGTTCCCACAAGGGGTGAAGCATCCTAGGTCTTTCATCCTCTTGCTTGAATCCAGGATCGCAAGGGCTCAAGAAGTGTTTGTGCATCAGCGTATTCCACCAACTTGGATGTGCATGCGCGGCAAGCGACATGTCTGCATGCCTTTTGTTTCATCTCTTGCAAAGAGCTGCAGCTGGAGCGCTAAACAATTCCGATCCATTCAGAGGACTTGCCAACCGTGCTGCAACGGTCGCAAAGGATTTGCATCCATTGCCCTAGACGAAGTACTATCAATCTCAAACTGCGGGAGCGACGAGCCCCAATTCAAGCTGATTTAGGCCACCTCCAACAAAGGAGTAAAGGTGGAAGACATTGTGTTTCTACGAGCCATCCATCCATGTTCTACTTACTATGTTCCACTTACATGATGTTGGTTGGATAGAGGATAAGCCTGGATAAGCATGGATCCCAGTCTTGGAGGTTCCTGATGCTTAGTGTTGGGTATGCCAGCCCGTGCCTATTTCTCACAAAAGAAGGCAAGAGAGGTGCCTTTGGCCGGGCTGAAACTCCCGAGCTCAGAGCTCGCTCTCGACCCGACCGACCGGGAGCTCTCGCTCCGAGGCCGTGGACCGGATCTTCGCCGAGAAGGAGCGCCTCGCCGAGAAGAAGGCGCAGGAGGCGTGGTTTGGGGTTGGGGGAACGGCCGGTGCGGAGGGCGGTTCGGACGCCGAAGGAGGTTCCTGTTTGGAAGTGTGGAGGGAATGTTTGCAGAGGGGAGAGGATGGGAGATTTGAGGGGTAGCGCTGGTCGCGGATGCGCTGTGGGTTTGTGCCGTGCACTTCTGAGGGAGGAAAAGGATGGTTTGAACGGGACGTGGTTGAGATGGCCCCATCGAGCATTTATTTCGACCCAGGCCCACATCCATCTCCAAACGAAAAGACCTCGAATCATTCCCCAAGGTTTCTCTCAAAGAGGGGGTTGAGCCCAGCAGCAGCGAACCTCCACCCTTGGACCCGAAAGAGTTTCTCCAGGCTGCGGACCAGGCGGCGGCCAACCCCGAAGAGGCCAAGGCGCAGGAAGAGGCGGTGCCTTTGCAGAAAGAGGACAAGAGGCCATCGCTACTAGTAAACAAAAGCTTTCTTGTTACTAGTAGCAATGGCCTCCAACCTCCTAGCGATGGCGTCGCTCGCTCCACCGACCGGACGCTTCGCCGACCGAACGCTTCGCGGACGCTTCCGCCGGTTCGGAATCGGGTGGGAGACGTCGACGTCGAGTCTTTGGACGGTGAAATGGTTGAGGATTCGTGGGGGGTGTTTGCGGTGGAATGCCGTCATAAGATATATTGCCGCCCCGAAAACCGGTGACTGGCAGGGTGTGGGACATATGATGATCGGTCCACTTGAGCGACCCAGTGGAAGACTCTTCGGACCCAGTGGAAGACTCTTCGTGAGCACGTCAGTGGTTGGTTTTCCCTTAGTATCAGTCGCTTCACAGAGAAAAAGCAGTTCCAAAGATTGTGATAGAGGAGCTTGACATGCCGATCTATTTCGTGGGTCAATTGAAAGCTGTTTACAGTGTGATTTTTGGTGGAGATCCCACAATTTGGGTTGAAACAGCCTCTCTTTGCAAGGCAAAAGATGGCCAAGTGAAGGAATGATTGGGTCCTTGCGTGCGATGTGTGTTTCATGTTTGACAATCGTTGGACCAGAAATGTATATATATATATATATATAGACATACACACATACTGTGTGTATATATATATATATTGGGCAGGTTGTTAGGGCCTCTGGCTGGAGATCTTGATCGGCTTTGCTTTTTCATGGTTTCCTCATTTTCACTGGCGACTGCGAAACTCGGTTTAGGCCAAGACTGCGGAGGAGCAGAAACAAAAACTGAAGGAGGCAGGGCCGACCGGACGAGGGGCGCAGGCAGGGGCCATTCGGTCGGACCGGTGAACTGAGCAGATGGATTGGACCTGCAGCGGACTCCTTGTAAGGGTAGGAACACACTTCACCACTACCACTACGAGTGGACAGGCGAAACTGGGGAGAGGCGGGGCAAGGCTCGCAAGCTGAAAGCTTTTCCGACATTTCTTAAGCCGCTGCTTTGCCACTGAAGAAAGAGTTCTCTGTAGATTCAATTGTGAATGTCCTGAATGAGTGGACGGCACATCACCAGTCGCCACAACTAGTGTGCCACTTTAGTTTGGCTAGTACAATTCCGACTCAACTTTTGATGGTTTTAGGCCAAAGACTTTTTAACACAGCGGTTTGAGACCGTCCTCTCTGTGTTCGCCCTCTTAGGACCGTCGGTGTTTTAGAACCCCCGGAGCAGAGGCACAGGCGAAGCGGAAGACCAATGAACGCGCGGATGCACAGAGCGGATGCTGTGGCACGGATGAAGAAGAAGCTACTGTGAGATGTGGGTCAAGACCAAACACTTCCATCTCTGGTCCATAGTCATCCATTTTCTTTGAAAGAAGCCGTGTGACTTCACTCAAGGGGTCTACGAGGGTGCCCGGGGTTGGACCAGCCCTTGGACTTGCAGATCCGAAGTCAAGCTGCCTCTGCTGTTGGTGTTGAAGAGGGCCCCAAGGATTTTTAGAGCTTCAAGTTTTGGGGTGGAAGTTCCTGTTTCAGGTGCTGAAAGGGCACTGATGAAGTGAGTGAAGTGATGGATTTGAGTCCCTACAAGAACGGCCTTCTGAAGTGTGATAGTTGGCGAGAGATGAACGTCACGTGTTTTTTGGTGAGAGACGAAGTTGCGAGCCATAAACCATGCCGATCAAACTGAGCAAGCAGAAACATATAAAATTGCATGGTCAAACCTCCTCAACTTTCTCTTTGTGGGTCTTGTGGTCCCAACAGCAACGTTCCAATATTCACCTACCAGCACATGGTTCTTGGACATCTCATAAGGAGGATTGCCTCGGGTTCCTGTATAATCTGACTTCCTGAATGTAAGTTGTGCTCTTTTCTCCCAAACAGCGCTTGGGCTAAAGCACTTGCCTCGAGGGCAATTCTTGGGAAACACATGGGCAATTAGGATAGATAGACCCTCTACCATGGGTTTTGGTCTCGTTTTAGTTTTTCTATGCCTTAGCAGAGCCCTGCTCTTGAAACACAAATCGAGCACGGACAAAAGAGCACTGCCTCTACCTTTTCCTCAGTTCTTCCAATGATGCTTTCGGACCCATGAATGCCATGGAAAGCAAACTGAAGGAAGCAACCCTACACTAGTGCAAGAGGCGGGAATACACACAATAGGCATTCTTTGAGGATGTACAGTTTCAGGCTGTGCAGGATTTCCTTTATCAACACTAGCTTCAGGGTGTTTTTGTTGCCGCAGGTGTCGCACTTGTCTAGTTGTCTCTTGACCTTTGGATGTCTAGCCCCGATGCTGCTGATCCATCTGAACCATCAACGCCACCTCAGTACGTCTGGGGCAACTTTCAGGACAGCCACTGCAGACTCTTTATGAGGTTTCTAAGTCTTTGAACGCTTTGATGTTAAGACCTGTGGGGACCGGGAGATAAAGCAAAAATCACATGACCATGAAATGACCACACCTCTATGATCCTGGTCAAGCTATGGGTTGCTTCCCATACAGAAGTCAAAGGAACAGTGAAGCACTGAGGCGAACATCTGGGGATCAGAATTTAGGACACCCTGTGAAGGACACCTGCTGTATGCATGCGAACAAGTCCACACCACTAGTACTAGGCACTCCTGCAAGCACTCGGCAAAGGGGACCTCGTATTTACGGTCCCGGTAGGGTATATAATCACTGAGAAGCTTGAAGCTTCCTGGGAGATCTGGAAGCTTCCTGTCGTGGAAAGTGAACGATCTTTCGCTAGGACTACTACCGCATCCGGAATGGTGAGGCGGAAGATCCGCGACTCTTTTGGTTGAAGGAGACCATCAGCTGGAGAGGCGGGATGGGCCAAGTTCATCCTTTTGCGGCAGCCAAGTGGCATCAATCAACCAACGCATGGTCATGCATGGTCCATCGAATTCGATCCCGTTTCACCCAGCATTTTGGTGGAGTTTGAAGGGTCAACACAAGGAGTTTGGAGGTTCTGACCCACCTGGGAGTGGTGGAAGATGAACCCGGTGGAAGACGATTTGTCTTTGCCACACACTCAGACAAGAGCCAGCTCTTCGCCAGGGAAGTCAGTCCTAGACCTGGGTTGCAACAGTGGACAGCTGACTCTGCAACTGGCCCAAGAGGGTTGCAACGATGTGCTGGGCGTCCCTCGGAAGGAGCCGGTCAAGAGAGGCCTTTCTTCTTTTTCTGGGCTGAAAAGCGTGCCACCGAGCGGGTTAAATCACGCCAAGGAAAGTTCAGGGGACAGTTCTGTTTGTTCGGTGGCAAGCGAGGTCATGATCCTGATTTTGGAGAAACTAGAGCAATTCTTCACATTCTTTCAGTATGTAACATAGAAGATGGAATAGCCCAGCAAAAGGATTGTTTTCATGAAAGATGGATCAAAACGGCAGCTTGCGATGCATGTGCGGTGTGTAAAGCGATGAAAAAAGCATTCCACAGCTCTACCGGTGGAATCCGTGACGTCCGTCCCAGACATTGTAGGCAACTCTCCATCGCGTACATCGGACTTACCGTACTTAAATAGACCATACACTTTGGAAGAAGGTAGAATATAAAAATAGATATTAATATATATATATATATGTATACACAGTATATTATTGCATCAAAGGAGTAACGACCAGTGCCCAGAAAGGTCACCAAATACCCGCGGAACGAAAAAAGAACACCGTGTACCCATCAATGGTTGAACGAGGCTGACCCATGAAGCGGTGGGGAATCCACATCGGCTCTCTTCAGTCTCTACGGGCTGGCCGAAGAACGAGAAGCATATAACATATATAATTATATAACATATATACCCTTAGAAACCCAAAGAACCAGAAAGAAATACTGTAGATGTTTCCCCAGTCCCAGCCACTTCCTACGTAAAGGATCTCAAGAAAGCCATATTGGAACTTGCAACAACCATTGCGTTTCTGTTTGGGACTGGGTAGACCCAGGTGGTGTGGGTGGTGTGGGGGCACATGACGCCCCCTCCACCGGCCCAGCTGAGGTGGACATCGATCCCGCGCTGATCCTGCAAGCGAAGCGGCAGCGAGCGATGTCGCAAAGCAGCGGGGACCATCGATCCGTGGGCCGGTCGAGGCGGGGTACGACAAACTGCAACCCCCAAAAGGTGGCACTTGGATGGAGAAAGAGAGAGAGAGAGAGAGAGAAAACCATTTAAACGCATTCATGATCCAAAAGGAGCACCAAAGGAGATGCTTCCTTGATCCGCAAGAGTGTGGGGAACGCCGTGGATCGAACGAATGATGCCGTCTCCAGGGTTCGCTTCCTGTGCCGGGACATGATGAAGCTTCGTTTGCAGCGCTCCTACGACGTGGTGCTGCTGTTGAGCACCTCCAAGTGGCTGCACCTGCAGTGTCTGAGCTGAGTTGCGTCCTGTTCACCATCTGAAAGCTGGGTCGAAAAGAGTCCATGAATTGAAACTCCAAGGAAAGCCGCTGGACATTGAACCGTGAGATTCGTGTGCTCTTTGTGTTTTTTGGGGGTTGCAACAACTGGAGACGAGGGGGTGAGTTGCAGCTCAGGCGGCAGATTCCACATGGGTCGAAACACAGTCACATGGGTTCCAAGGGCGACTTCTCAGAAAAAGCAGTTGCTGGATGATTGATCCGATTGGAGGATGACAGGCGTGTTAGCTTAACAAATGGCTGAGTATCTATGTCAGAAGCCTTGCAAACCATGAACAGACAAGCTTGCACTCTCCAACGGTTGAGTCCTCATCTGTGAATCCAGCCTCCATTGAGGTATGGGGATGTGGGTCTGAAGCAGCTCTTCGCACGCGTGAAGCGGTGGCTGAAGCCGGAGGGGGTCTTCATTTTGGAGCCCCAGTGCTGGAAAGCCTACAAGAAGGCAGACTGCTGGAACTTTGGTCGCCATCGCTGGTTCGGGTGCCTCTTCTTTTTCTTCTTCCTTTTATTCTTCTTCTTCATTGCTACATTTGTTTAATCTTCTTCTCCTTCTCCTTCTGCTTCTGCTTCTGCTTTTTCTTCTCCTTCTGCTTCTTCTTCTTCTTCCTCTTCCTCTTCCTCTTCCTCTCCTCCTCTTCTTCTTCTTTCTTCATTTTGTAAAATTTGTTTAACATTTTTCTTCTCCTTCTCCTTCTTCTTCTTCTTGTTCCTCTTCTTTCTCTTCTTCTTCTTCTTTTTCCTCCTCTTCTTCTTCTTCCTCTTCTTTCTCTTCTTCTTCTTCTTTTTCCTCCTTTTCTTCTTCTTCTTCTTCTTGTTTCTTCATTTTTTCATTTGTTTAGCCTTTTTCTTCTCCTTCTTCTTCTTCTTCTTTTTCCTCCTCTTCTTCTTCTTCTTCCTCTTCTTTCTCTTCTTCTTCTGCTTCAAATTGAGCGGATTGGACCATTCGCTTGGGTTTTGGGAGGTCTTTTACGGCCAGGACGGTGAGCTGGTTGTCTTTCGGAGCTACGTGCCCCACGTGTGGCGCCCGCATCCAGGGAGGTTTTGGTGAACAGACCCTCCATCCCACAGAAGGAGGTCTGACATGAGCGAAGATGGCCGAACTGAGGAATCTCACTGGAACGGAGATCACGGAATACAAGTGTTTTGACAGTGCCAGACAACCACACACACCCTCGGGGTCATGGTGAACTGTGAAGCCATCTGATCTTTATTCCCCTAGATGAATAAGAGGAGGTTTCCCAAAATGCTGCAGGGAACGCCCGTTAAATTCTCCATTGCTTTCCCCTAAGTACTACTGTTCTTTTGCAGTCACCCGCTTCCCAGTGGAATGTGATCTCCAACCAAGCTCAAAGAAGATGGTCAGGTGGCGGACGCCTGGGTGGATGTGGAAGAGACGTGGCGTTCCATTTGCCTGAGACCCACGGAATTCATCCACTTCCTCACCCAGGCGAGTTCTTCGCATGCCTGTGGTGTAGCCGCTAGCCGCTAGTAGCCTGCGTCACACGTGGGCGTGGGTTTTGGCTTCTGGACGCGCGGTGTGCCGAAACAGGAGTTCCAAGACTCGCAGTATTTTTGGAGTTGAAGCAAGGGAGCGGGCTTAGCTTACGGGCATTGGTTTTGGTATGCGTTGGCAGGCTAGAAGCCGCAGTTGGCTCAACCTGCGGGTCCCACATCCTGTGTTTGGCAGGCCGAGTCCCTGCTAAGTTGCTTACAGAGTGCTTGACCCTCCAAGAGGTTTGCCAAGACAAATTGATGGAAGCTAGCCAAGCAAGGCCACAGCTCCTCAGTTGACGGGTTTACGACTAAGCCAATCAGAGTGGGCCAATATCAGCAGCTGAAAGGACCAATCAAGATTCCAGGTCAGGGGTTGCAGGGTTCCAGTGCTCTAGGGTGACACAGTTCCGGCGTGTCGAGCCCCGTTCCAGCTTGGTCAAGTCACCAGCCCTGAAAGCAGCTGTTCCGCTGTTTCAAGCATCGTAGTTTGGGTTCTGTGAAGGAATCTGGCCACATCCTCCTCAAGTTACTTCTTTCATTCTTTCATCATAAAACCTCATCGGATCCGACGCCACACGTGTGCCCGTGTGCCTGAAACGGGAGGAGTTGAAGTTTGACCCGGAGTACCGCTGGGTCTCGGTGGGGCACCAGCTGGACTCCTTTCGGCGGACCATGTATTTCTTGTGGATCCATGGCAACAGATATGCGCGCGCGCGCGCGCGGAGTGTCCGGCCCGAGATGCGAGGCGGCGCCTCTTTTGGCAAGTTCTTCAGGATCCGAATCCAGGTGAAGTCCAGGGAGTCCAGAGCTGGGCAAGTCTTGAGAAAGTTTGTGGGATGGAAGACCTGAAAAGATCAGACACATCTCAGCGGTCGGCCGAATCGCAAGCAACCCGAGGAAGCCGAAAGAAGGCTGCTTGGCCATGAAGTTGGAGCGCCTCCAAGTGATCCACAACCACCATCGGATTGGCGTTCTCCCACCATAGAGCCGGGTATGGCTCACAAGAATGAGCAACCATAGAGTTGTTCCTCAATTCTGTACCACTGGGTCCTAAGATATCCTAAGATAGTACCTTAAAACTTGGAACCATAGCCACATGTTCGAAGGACAGATGGTGAACCAACCGTGTTCGAAGAACTCGATAAGAACAGACCTTTGCGGTGTGGTGCTTTAATCGGATGCACTTGGTGATGGTCAGGTCATTTGTAGAGACAAGAAATGCGTACTGGTGCCACCATCGACAGATCAAGCGTCGGCAATGCCCGCAGTCTAAGAGATCCAAACAAGTTGACGGCATTGGTTGAACGTCAACGAATGATGGAGAACAGTTACAAGTGACAAACGTCTACCAAGTTCGTTGAGCTTGAGAAGGCCTTTTTGTAGTCACCAGAACGCTCGGGTGAGACGGACTCCAAAAACAGCTGGATCTGTCGCGACAGAATCTGTATTGGGAGTGCCCAGTCGGACGCTCTCGTCGGACGCTCTCGCTTCTGTGCCCAAGCCGCTTTGAGTACCTGCGGCGCCAGCGGCCTCCAGGTGGCACTTCCAGGTGGCACTCCAGATGCCCCGTTTCCCGCGGAGGACTGGGGTTCCGAAGTCTCAGCCCTGGATGGTGCGCCAGCTTCGAGAGCGAGCCAGCTTGGTTCCGGCTTTTGCCGGGTTCTTTGTGGCAAGGCATTGCAACGGTTCGTCTTGTAGCGGCACCGTTCATCTTGTTCTAAGGTCTAGATTCGATATAAATGGTGAGAGACTTGTAGTTCATTCAAGTGCCACTGAGCATTCATTTTCTCAGGACCAAAGCTGCTTGCGCTGATGCGCGCGCGAAGGCGGCGCCGCCTTTGCTGGCAGAACCGCAAAAGAATGCGGCTGTCCCGACGGAGTTGGTGCTCTGAGACCCTTCCAGGATTGAACTGGGTGTGGGTCAAACGTCAACCCAAAGAATCACATGGCAGTCAGTATAGTTTGTTTAAGTTTGAGTTATCTCAATGACTCTCAGAACGGTTCAAAACCGGGGTCTTCCTGTTCAAGGCGTCCTGCGGAATCTCCAAACTCCACATGACTCCAGAACCCCGTCCGAAGGCATCTGAGGAAGGTCGGACGCCCGAGTGGCCGTGGGGACTAAGGCTATACCTCCAATGAGGTCGGCGCCTCCTTCACGTCCACCGCGGTGCCTCTCAAGACGCTTGGCAGAGCAGACGCGGAGCCGAACAATGGCTCGCAGGGGGAAGCAGTTGGACAGGGAAGCACCAGGTGTCAGCAGTTGGTCGCGAAGCTTCTTGTGGTTCTCTTTCGTTTCGGCATCCTTTCAGTGATCGAAAGGAACCACCAGAAATGGCCCGAAGCTGCAGTTCCAAGAAACATGAATTACAGTACTGGGCCTGGTGAAAACCAGGTGGGTGACGGGTCACATGCCACGTCCGGCCGTGGAACTTCTGTGTTGCACCCAGTCGTTTGAAACGGGAGTGGTGCAGGTCGAAGAATGAGCTGCGGAAGCTCACCGAGGAGGAAGAGTTGCAGGAGCCAGACATACAGGGTGGGCCCAGCTGGGTTGGGATCTGTAGGCAGTGGTCAATCCGGATTGACCTTTCAGGGGTGGTGGAGTGGTCATAGAGTGAGGAAGACAATCGAGAACCCCGCTTGATGCTGGGACGGTAGACTGTGGGCATCACGCAGTTCAATTACCAAGGACAGGTAATCCCCCATGTTTGAAATTCAGTCAACATGTCACATCCATTGGAAGCCTCGGAGGGTGAACGAAGGGCAACTCGTCCGAGCAACGCTGGGTCCATCCGGGTAATACCAGAGCAACTGGACCATCAGTAGTAGTCAGTAGTAGTAAGTAGTAGTAGTAGTAGTAGTAGTAGTAGTAGTAGTAGTAGTAGTAGTAGTAGTAGTAGTAGTAGTAGTAGTAGTAGTAGTAGTAGAAGTAGTAGAAGTAGTAGAAGTAGTAGAAGTAGTAGAAGGAGTAGGAGTAGGAGTAGGAGTAGGAGTAGGAGTAGTAGTAGGAGGAGTAGGAGTAGGAGCAGCAGCAGCAGGAGTAGTAGTAAGTAAGTAAGTAAGTAAGTAAGTAAGTAAGTAAGTAAGTAAGGAAGGAAGGAAGGAAGGAAGGAAGGAAGGAAGGAAGGAAGGAAGGAAGGAAGGAAGGAAGGAAGGAAGGAAGGAAGGAAGGAAGGAAGGAAGGAAGGAAGGAAGGAAGGAAGGAAGGAAGGAAGCAGCAAGCAAGCAAGCAAGCAAGCAAGCAAGCAAGGAAGCAAGGAAGTAAGTAAGTAAGTAAGTAGGTAGGTAGGTAAGTAGTAGTAGTCGTAGTGGTAGTAGTAGTAGTAGTAGTCGTAGTGGTAGTGGTAGTAGTAGTAGTGGTAGTAGTAGCAGCAGCAGGAGTAGTAGTAGGAGTAGGAGTAGGAGTAGGAGTAGGAGTAGCAGTAGCAGTAGCAGTAGCAGTAGCAGTAGTAGTAGTAGTAGCAGTAGTAGCAGTATTGGTAGTGGTAGTGGTGGTGGTAGAGGTAGTAGCAGTAGCAGGAGTAGCAGGAGTAGCAAGAGTAGCAGGAGCAGTAGCAGTAGCAGTAGCAGTAGGAGTAGGAGTAGGAGTAGGAGTAGGAGTAGTAGTAGTCGTCGTCGTCGTCGAAGTTGCAGCGGTAGTTGTGGTGCTAGTGCGTTATTTATATTTTTTGCTTCGAGGGTGGTGAGTCAGAGTATATTTATAAACTCACTCTTGCGCCGAAGCAGTCGACATGGAAACCATACCTTTGACAAAGTGCCCCAGTACCAAGGAGAACCATGCAGACCTCCTGGGCTTGCCAGATCATGGACACGCACATATTGTCATGACCCTTGTTTGAGTCGCAGACACGTCTAGATGTTGGAGGAGAACTGAAGTTGGACCTTCCCCCATTTGTGCCGTTCATTTCTTGCCGTAGGATCTCTATGATCAGGCCTGGGATGGCGACGTCGAGCATGGGGGGGTAGATGGAAGGAGAGGACTCAACATCATTTCCTTGAACTGAAGTTTGGCCCGCCTCGTTATCAGAGTTTCTGGGACTGCATGTGGCCCCACTTCTTAGACAAATGCCCGCTCTCTTGTCGTCCCGCTCTTGAAGTCGACAAACAATCGGAGCAAGAACATCGGTTTCTTCGAAAAACAGCTCTCGGGGGACTTCTCGACGCCCACGCCTGGATACGTCAGGGTGATTTTTCACCTCCGCCAGGTTCGAAAGAAGAAGCAGAAGGGCTATGATCCTCGGCAGCGAATCGCCGTTTTCTGGATGAAGCGAGAATCGCCCGGGACATGTGGATGAGAAGGCAGCGAGGGACATGTGGTAGGTGTTTTCAGGGGCGAACGAGACACCGGAAGCGACTTCCCAGAACGTGGGTGCTCGAGTGACCATGTTTACAGACCCGTATAGGTGTGCGCAGTTGGGCTTTCGCAAGAAACGACCCGTCAGGACGCCCCCGCCCCCCCGTTGATTCAGTCGTTTCACATCTCTGGAAAGAGAGGGGGGTGGGTTCTTCATCAAGCGGATTGGGATGAGGTTCTTCGTTTGCCAAGAAGCAGACATACTTGAATAGCTTGTCAAGATTTCTTCAATATTATTCAACACCATTGAACAATCAAATCAACTATTGTCGGAGCAAGTTTGCTCATCATACTCTGATTCAACAACCTCCACATGGTGGATCTTGCGGGTGCGCTGGGTGCGCTGTGTGATTCCTCCAGTCGCTGGGCGCGTTCGCCCAAGTGCGTGCGCTGTCTTCCTGCAATCCGCGGATCTGTTCGTTGTGGGAGTGGTTTTGGGGAGGTGATGAGGTGCTGGTTTTTTGGTGGTCCTTCTGGGGTGGTTGGTGCCACAGCAACGCAATGCTGAAGCATTTTCAGTCGGCTTTTAATAGTTCTCTACAGTACTTTTGCTGAAAGAACTCCAGTCCACGAATTCACGCCCACTTCCAGTGCCTTGGGAGAAGTTTGGACCAGGTGCGAGTCGTAACGTCTTGTGGCTGCCTCAATTTGGAGATCCATTGCAACATTGTGACTTGCCTTGAAACCGAAGCGCCAAGCTGGGCGGTTCGCTAGCCAAGCTGGACAAAACGGGGAGAGGTGCTTAGGCGACATGTCGACTTCGGCGTCTCCATGGTCTCACTGATGGCAGGTGGATAGGGAGGACAAGGAGCCCAAACACGCCCTTTTTCAACTCGTTCGAGTGGGAATGAATGCCAAGCTTAGCACAGTGCACTCGGTTTGTTGATGATTTTCTATGTTGTAGTATGGAACATGATGAGTGCAAGTGCGAGCTGTTCACCAATTCCTTTCCGTCTTTTTTCACCTCGAGCTGACAGGTGACATGACATGGCTTCCGAAGCCCCTTCCATCGGGTGAGTGACACCCTACACCCGGGCTCCCGAGCCTTGTTTCACCCATAAAAAAGGGTGTGGGGGGCTTCAAGCGCGGCGTCCGAAGCTTGAGGACCAGTATATAAAACTTGGATTTTCAGACCTACTAAGACCTACCCAGGAAAAAGTGGATCAGCTTCAAGCCTTTTGTTGGCGAGTGGTTTCCCCACCTACTATGAACAGGTGGATAAATGCTTTAACCTTTATTTTGCAGGGAAGCTGAGGGAGTCAGAAGAACTCAAGCGTTTGGGAACAGCCTGGTCACAGGAGCTCAGCCGAAGGGACCGTTGGAAGGGACCCGGCAGAGGCACCAAGAACCTCCGACAACTTCCTCCGGCTCTGTGAGCGCAACTACTACGACAACACGGTGGGGGGTCAGGGGGGGGGAGTGCTTGTTGCTCACACTCCTCAGGGCCAATCAACGGACCGAGGGGTTAAAGCTCCAAATGGGTGGGGGAGTGGTGTTTTTCTTGCATGCACAGGATGATGTGAGGGATGAGTGGCAGGAAACCTGCTGTGAGGGGGGGACCTGTGAGGTTTCGCCACTATGATAGATGCACATCAGTGAACTACCGAGATTGGATCAATGTTTTCTAGTGTCCATGGGTGGTGGACAGTGTGTAATCCGACACCATCCTGCGATTGACTAGAATGTTCCGCAGCGGAATTCACTTAGCGCCTTTACGGTTATAGTTGGGTGGCTGTCCAAAGCTCGACAGTATCTAAGGACCATCCATTGTTAAAGGTATGCAGCACAAATTAGGATCAACACTGCAGATGTTTGCCAGGAGTTTTACAGAAATGATAAGACAGTCGACCTGTTCTCATCAGAACTGATGACAGAACCTTTGGACAAGCTCTGAAAAGACTGTACATATAATAAGACGTATAATAAGACTTTCTTCGACGAAGTATTGGTTTCACGGGGATGGCGATGGCTGACTATAGAGACCAGCCAGCTTTTGGCGACAACACTTCGGCGGATCAGGAGTTCTTTATCACTTAGGTCGAACCGGAGGGACTGGTGCAGGTTTTTTGGGGGACTGATCCAACTGCAGATCGATCTTCCGACGCTGCCAGATCTTCCACCGGCTAATCCGAAACTTCATGTTGCAGGTGGGGGGACTTGGTAGAGCTTGCGTGGTGAAGGAGAGCTCGCTTCAAAGAAATGATGCTCTGCTATGCCATTGAGTCATTGAGCGTCATTTTCTTTCCCACACTTTTTTTGACAAACATGATTCATGTATAAAACGTTCATCAACGGAATCAACCTGGAGCCCCAATCACTGGGTCAACCAAGTTTCTTTGTTTTTTTACTTGCACACCTCAGTTACATTTCACCCTCATCAAACACCATACCACAGTGTATCAAGGGATGTTTTGGGGTGCGTGCGGATATTGCCCAAGTCGTGTTACCAAGGTTTACTCAAATGGAAGGTATGGAATGCAAAACCTAACACTCTGACAATTGTATTCAGTTACACTCAGTTCCCAGGTCGAACATGGTGATGGAACGGAAAGGTGGCAAAAGTCCGTGATCAATTGAATGTTGAACACATGTTTACACACATCTGCAGAGTCTCAGCGGCGGCAACTCGCGAGTGGCTGAAAGTTGTGGGGGGAACATGCAACCACCATGAATCAAACAAAGCGGATTGGACAGCTTGCTCAAAAGTTTTTTCAGCAGGTACACAGATTGGCGTCCCAATCTGCTTCACGGAATGTCCACAGCTGTCTTCGTTGGCAGCAGAACTGTGGATTCCCTGCTGCCCCCTGCTGGTGAAACTTTGGTGGACATGTGGCAGTGGAGGTCTTGAAAGGAAACCCTTGGTCCAGGGGTCGACACACACACACAGATCCTTTGATACACTGCCCGAGCCATTTGCGAATTAGATCACTAAATTATACAATTACTTCCACACCTTTGCATTCATATCCTGTTGGTCTATGCTTTGTCGGTCTTACTCGCGTTTTACTCGTGTGGTGGAGATCCGTGAATTCACGTTTCTTAGTATTTGTAGAGTGTTCAAACTTTCATGCGACCAAAACAGTACGAACATCACTTCTCACCCCCTTTGCACCCAGTGCTACTAGGTACGGACGTGGACGGGGAGCGCGTGGATTGTCGTGTTACCAAGGTATATCCAGGCTGCCGTGACACACAGCCACATGGGTCCCACGGGTAATTTGAGTCATCCCCAAGATGCAGTTCATGCGGGGCCGATGCAGAATACGCTACCAGACATTTGCATGACCTCTTCCCGTTTGTTTGGAATGAATTTTCCTCCATCGACTCCGGAGAAACTGCGAAAGCTGTCAGGGCGGAGACCCCACGGGCACTGGCCGCGGTGGAGAGAGTGGCTTCGAAGGTGGAGAGAGCTTCGTGGTTGGGATGGGAGATACATGGAGATAGCTTGACCGCACTTGCCAGCTTGATCAGATTGAGCTGAAAAACCCAAGGAGTGGGAATTTCATGATTTGACGAGGCATCCATTGCAATCAGTGGTTTCAAGCACCTGATGTAGCTCAATGCCACACAAAATACACAAAATGCACAAAACTCAAAACTACAAAAAACTCAATGCCACTCTGTTTGGGTTTCAGCTTTCAAACAAAGATCCACCAAACTCGAGACCAGAATCGATCAACACTAACACCCGAATTGATCATCCAACCTTCAGAAATAAGGTGACACCATGATGACCCGAATTGGTCAGGTGGGAAGCCCTTCAAAGATGAGTTCGACAGCCGGTTGCTTCACCAGGGTCCTGGCGCCTCTCGGACGTGACGAGTCACATGCGGCACCCGCAGTTTGGTTCATGCGAGCGTGACAGTCACATCCAGGCACAGGCAAAGACAAAGCACGGATTCAGGGATCATGTTTTTTTAGGTGTCGAACGGGGTGAAGGAGAGGTCTTTGGGAGGCTCAAAAGACGGTGCACTTCACATACGTCGTTTTTGTACAACGTACAAACGGACACATTCGAAACCATCTACGTTTCACATAGCTATAGTGGTTTCGAACGCCTTTGGCAGAACCTGCGATGGGCACGAAATCCCGCCGTGGACCTCATGTGACACGCTGAGGTCGTCAGCATGGCAAACAGCGGGAAGAATACCAACCGGACGGGAGTGGTGAGAGCTGTCGGGAGTGGTGGGGACGCGCCCCGATCTGATGACAAGGGACGAGCCCCGATCTGATGACAAGGGTCTGCTGTTCAGCTGAAATGGTGGAAATATGTGGAAATGGTGAAGCAGTCTACCACCCTAGGAGTCCACGAGCTTGGATGACATGCGTCATCGTACGAGTGTAACAGGCTGACAGCCTGACGCGGAACGGACAGGAACCTTCCCTGCCAGAGTTGTAGCTTTTTCAGCCACGAGCCATCCACAAGTTTGGATTTAGAAGAAACAACAGCCAAGTTTAGACGGGCCTTGCCCTTGCCCTTGAGGGACATGATAGGAGCTTTCTGAGCCAAGTCCTCGAGCACATCCCACAGCAGGAGTCAATTCTTCATCTCTTTGAAATCTTGTGAGCACCTCAACAACAAGCACTCGGTGTAGGGGACTTAGTTGGCCGGCCTGATCAATGGTGATGCAACTGGCGATTGGGGTTTTGGAGCGACTCTCCCTGCATGACGCCCCTCGAGGGTTGAGTGCTTCCAAAACTTGCCACAAGACAGGCCACGAGATGAAACGGAAATCCATTGCCTTGGTGCTCAAGAATCACCATATGAAAAACTGTCAGGGCAAAAAATCCGGACTGTCAGGTTCTTCCATGCGTCTAAGACTAAGACACATGCTTCGCATGTTTCAATTTTCCATGTTCAACGGGAGGTGGTCTGAAATCGGCTTCGGTCTGAAATCGGCCGTCCTTCGGCGTGGATATCCTTTGGGGGAGGATGTTGCAGGGCTCTGGATACATCGGGAGGTCCCATGACTTGGCGGTCGCCGATGACTTGCGCCGAACATGTTTTCTGCCCATGTCTGGGTAAACCGGGTTCGTTTTTTCGTTCGCATCAAGCTAGTCTAAGTTGCAAGATGGGGAGGATCCCACGATGAACATCGTCTACTCTTAGACAGATGCTGCCCTTTTTCACTGATTCAAACACGTTCCACCTTCAACGAGGGTTTTCCTTGGCAAGCCCGGGCAGATGCACGGCCGAGGTTTGGCCGAGTGGTTGGGGGCCTCCAGATCCTGTGGAGCTCTTAGCCTTGCCCCGTTTTTTAGTATTAAACATATTTCAGAGCTCCGCCTCACAGCCGGCCAAACTGCGTGGTGGAGGGCAGATGAGGATGTTTTTGGTATAAGCCTGCCGCATTTTGCTTGTGCTGGTGGTTATGCAGTTCAGTTTGAGTGCCATCCTGACCTGAGGGGTGTGTGAATTGTTGTGGCCGTGTTCGCTACCCCGCACTGAGGGAGGTTCTCAACAACTGGGAGACCGATGCCAAAGACAAACCCGTGACGGAGATTAAGCTCATCCGCACAGAGGTGCCGCTTCGGGCAAACCGCGGTTTGAACGGTGCGCGGAGTGAACTGCGCGGAGAGTTCCGCAGCGAACTGGAAGGCCTCTCATGGCCGAACGGCAGCAGAGATGCTTTTTTGTTTGTGTGTGTGTGTGTGTGCAGGATGTATTCCACACCATCGCGAGCGCGCGTTGAGTCCCGCAACTACACCCTCTCCCCACTCTGGAGCGCAGCGAAATGAAAACATGTGAATGCATGCATCTAATCTAATTATTGCACCATCGGAAGTGGGAGGTCCCAGGAGGCGCGGCAAGACTCTGTGCAGCCCCCCTGATCAAACACGTGTACCATCTGGAATCGTTCCTCATCACTCATAATTACCAGCAACCGTGCCCTTGGAAAGCACTCTACCGTGGGATTTGTTGTCATTGGGGACAAGATCACCAGGCAGAGCTTCACAATTGGGAAGCTGGATAAGCTGCTTAAGCAATGCAAGAATTGGTCTCCAGTTTCCATCGGACATGCTTCCAATCCTCATTGGTGTGCATCTACTTGGAGGGCTGAGACTGATTCGTGTAGATAATTGGTTTCCACATGTAGTCAGCAATGGAGGTGGCTCACGGCCACACTGGAAATCGCGCAACATCGTCAAGAACAGGATCGACAGTTTGCTCGACCTTTTTCTGCTTGTTGGGGGATGGCTGCAGCTCCCGGCAGCTGAGCAAGAACGCGCCCGCGCGCTGCGCAATCTCGACATCTTCGTCTTTGATCTGCGTGGAGCCAACTTGTTTGTTGCATGTAGGCATTGCTTGTAGCTTGGCCATTCAATATTCGTCAATGACGCTCAGAAAAGCAAATCTTTGGCAGGCGACATTGTCCCACGAGCTTACCCTCAGGCCCAGCCCCCATTTGTTGATCTTGCTTGCGCCGCCAATACCTTTACTGTACGTAACTCCGTGCAGCCTTTCCCGTTGTCTATGCCTGGACCGGTTTTGGTGGTCAAAGTTTTTTGGTGGAGCCAGGCGCCAGGGAAGCCATGTCTTTTGGTGGTCCAAAAGGAGATCGGAGCGGCTTTACGTCGGTGCTCTGATTTCGTGGCAGGTGCCGTAGACTGCGACTTTTGGACATGTGGCTCGTTTTCAGGAATCGGAGGAAGTCGAAGTCTCGAGCGAAAGCTGCGTTCTGGCATCTCTTGCTGTGAATCGCCTTGGCAGGGCTGTGCGATGTGAATCTTGATGTGCAGATTTCGTGGCAGGCATCGTGCTTTGTGGACCTTGAAGTGCAGATTTTGCCTTGTGCACCCACACACGATCATCACCTATCACCGCCATCATCACCACCATCACCTTTCTCTGGAGCCCAATGCATCTAGATCTCTGGGCCTTCAGAGTTTGGGGCCTATTATTTGCACAAATTGACAGACTGCGGTAGCAGATTTCTTGAGGAGCACAACGTCTCCGCCCACGGTCAACGGGAACACTGCGTCGGGCGCCCACTTCACTATAAAGGAGTTTTCTTTGCATTCGGGTTGCCAAAAGTGGCTTCTTTGATCATGGAGACATTCTGAGCCTAACCCGCGCTAATGCTGTTCCGAAGGCATGATCCGATATATAAACTATGTTTCCAGCCCTCACCAATGAGTGGCCTGCCTTGACCGGCCAAACATCAAAAAAGGAGGCTGCGGCTATGGGCGAGGTAGCGCTTACACTGACAACGTTTAATCGGTCTTGATTCGAGCTGTTTCCGATCCCACCCCAAATTCGTCGCACAAATGTTTTTCGTTCGCACTTCTGTGTCGGATCCGGCCCCAACATACTCTGGCTTTTGGCGCTGATAGTTTTGTGTCTGACCCATCCCCAAATCCATCACAAATGGTTTTGGCGTTGATCGTTTTGCGCTCGATCTGGCCCAACATCGTCACATGTAATAGGTTTCTGTTTGATCTGGCCACGCATCCGCCGCACATGGTTTTGATGTTGGTGGCTTGGGCATTGAACTTGAAATTTGACTTGAAAACAACGACTGCAAATCGAACATTGTAAAACTGAATTTCAATTTTACATTAGACAAACTTAAGCAACATGGGAATCTGGAAAACCGAATTGTGAAAACTGGAAGTGTGAATTGCTGAATATTTTGGATTCTTTAATTCCAATTTGCCATTTGGAAATTTCAAGTCAACAATTGGAATCTGGAAAAATGCTAAACAAAGCAGACTTGAAATTCGATTATATATTGGACATAAGGTATTGAACACTTTGCGCAATTCCAAGGCAACCCCCACCTCTCAAGCCGGATACTTGAGCCAACCCCAATCCCTTAAGCAACACCCAGTCCTTGAAACCAACATGAAGGGCCGGTCCGCCAAGCAACCCCCAGATGCTTCAGTGACCCCCAGGCCCTTAAGCAACGAGCCAACCTCACTTTTTTTGAGCAACCCCGGTTCCCTGAAAGCAACCCAAAGGGCTCAGACCCCGCCTTTGTCAGGCCACTATGATGGAATAACCACCAGGGTTGTGTACTGTAGAGTCGGGCAGAGTGGGGGGGGGTGGCCAAACATTTGTGAAGAAGAGAGTCGGCAGGTTTTCAAGAATCCCTTTAAAGAGATCACGGAGGAGATGGCGAAACCCAAAGTGGAGAAGGCCGAATCGGCGATTCTGGGCAGATTCTTTTTGTTGAACACGGTGTCAAAGGCTTTTCAAAAGGAATTGTTGGGATCAATGATAAGAGATTGTAGAGTCAGTGGAGGAAGAGGGCTGGCGACCGGGGACTTTGTTTCCTCTCTTTTTTGGTTATACCTACAGTACCTAACTGCTCGGTTGGAAAGCAATTGGCGGGCATCAGGTGGATGGTGATACTGATGTCGACTTAGATGTTGACGTTTCTGTTATGCAGTGAATGATGATCACCGGCAGAGTACACCATTAGCTTTCTCTTGGCCATCTTCGGTAGCTGCTTCCCCGAACAGACAGCTACCTGGAGTCTTCGAGTCGTTTCAGAAACACGCCAGTCCCGGTCGGTAGCAGGTGGAAGGCTTGTTCTTCTCGCTGATCTCCCTTGATATACAGGCTTAGAGGGGATCTGCCCCACAAAATTTGATCTGAACCACATGCACACACACACACACATGTTTGTATTAGCCACACATTCGGAGGTTGCAGCCACTGGGTGTTAATCTACTTTGCCCTCTGTGGCCTCGGTTTCTGATGGACAAGCCACCATGAGTTCCAAATCAACAGTGAAGAAGATAGCATCCAACGTGGATTTCTATGAGTCGATTACCCAGATTCTTTGGACCTAAAGTCGGGCCCTGGCTGCCACGGTCACCTTCACCTTTTCCTCCACTTTGGGGGAGTGAAACTGTTGTCACGGCACGGTGGACCATTTTCACCCCCAAAAGGTCTGGGTCAAAAGCAATCAACAGGTGACCTGGTGGCCCAGTGATTTGCACTTCGACTTGAGAAGTCAGAAGTGGTCTTCAAAAATGCATGCTTCGCCACTTTTGCTCATCGCAGTTGGTCCTGGTTTGGTTGAAGTTGGACAGGGACTCGATTCGAGCTCTGGGAGTTGACTGTGGGGGAGCAAATGGCTGTTTAACAGCGAAAGGGGGGCCGTTCAGATCAGCGACCTTTGAGTCAAGTCATGAATACCCATTCTCCGGGGCAAAACTTTGAGAGATCGTTGCTTGGACCACGTGCATCGAAACTTGGTATCACCGTGCGCCGTGCTCTTCGTGCAGCATGTGCCAGGTGGTGGACCCTGTAGCTACCTGGTTTAGCAACCGGGCGTCATGTGGACAAGTGGATAATGTCCAAGAACTTCTTTTCCGGGAGACCGTTTTCCCCTGAAAATGTTGCTCTCGCGGGGTTCGCGGGTAAACTGATGTTTTCCACGTTAGCTTATAGTCAGGAAGCTCAAGAGAGAACAGCTCCCCCAAGCTTCATCCAGAACAAATTGGACCTTTTCCAAGCAAAGAAGGTCGCGGCAGGGTCGATGGTGCTCATTTTTGGTGGACAGGTCTTCTTCATCTCCAGCCGCATGGCCACCTGGACCACGAAATGAATAGGCATTCAACCAGAGGACTCCAGGAGAGATGTCACTGACTTAGCTAGGTCGCATACACTTGAAGGACATATCCTCAAAACAGCTTGGATCACTGTGCACAATGGACCCGTCGTCATCAGTGGACCGGTGGATTTCGCCTCCGAACCACGCGCGTCCTCGTCGTCGACGTCGTCCCCCGCCGTTTCGCGGCGGCACCAAGGCAATCGCCGGGATCCCATGCAAGAGCACAAGAACCGGAACTCCACACAGGCAAGGCATGTTTGGTCCATATGTGTCAGCAGCCCCAAGGAGCCTTTAAGTAACAGCTCTGAGGTTGAAATGCGCCAAACCTGCAGTGATTGGCCGGAAAAACCCAGCAATTGGCCCCCCCCTTTTGGCAGCAGCTGGCGTCCTTACCCTGGCGGTTTGGATCGAGTGAACTACTTTAAATCATCAGACCCCAGAGCCACAGCAATCTCATCTCACTTGTGAATGCGGTCGAGACCATCAGCAACATCGTCTCTAAAAGGATCTGCCTAGAGCCCGACTAGGTCAACCAAGGTATCCTGGTTTGACCCACAGCTATGTCTTTTGCTTGTTTCGGGTTTTGGATACAAAAGTTTACCTGTCGACAACATGCACATGATGTACCCGCAAATGATGTGCCCTTGTTGAAAGAAGATCCACACCTGGTACGACCCCATATCCACTTATGAGAACCAAAACACGTCTTCAGCGCACCTGTCGCATGGCGCCTCTTCCTTCGTGTAACTTAACCTTTCATCCATTCAAAAACCTTCTGGAACCTCATGCGTCTCATGCGCACCAGGGGGACATGAACCCCAGAAGCGGGACTCACTGTGCCCGGCAGTGTCGAGCGGCTCGACGATCTGTCATTTGATTCTGAAGTATCCTGAAGTTGTGTATATAATGTAGAATTCACAGAATAAGTCTTGTAGGTGCTTTCATCCAACACTGGCTGATGATGGCTACCTAGATGGGCCCCAAACAGATAAACAACTACAGTAAGGACGAGCTTCTTTGCGGCCTTTTATCATCCAGTGAGTAAGGAGGGTTGTTAGTCCCTTGACCCCAAAAAGCAAATCCGTTCATCCAAGTAGCATCGCTACTAGGAGCAAGGACGCTACTACAGTAGGGGCTCCTGGCCTTACTACTAGGAACAAGGACGCTACTAGGGGC